CAGCATTTTGGAAGTAGAACTAAATAAAAGTAGGTTAAATGATGAATGCTGCATCTTACAAATGGACTAATGTTATCAGGAGGGTGGGTTGATTATTGTGAACTTGGCTTTCTCTTGTTGCCACTTTCTGTTGTCCTGCAACTTGTGCCATGAAATGTTCCATCATGAAAAGCTTTGGCAGATGCCAGCACTATGCCCATTCTCCAAAACAGTCAGACGTAAATGTTTCTTTGCACATTACCTTGTGTGCCATTCAGTTGTGGTAACTTTAAAACGGAGTAAGACAGCCGTAATGTGGTACATGCTCAAGTTTTAGATTTATTTCTTAAAACCCTTATAAATTTTGGTTTTACCATCAATGAATTTGCTGCTTCTGTTGGGGATAATTAGATAAAAGGGAATACTTTGAGAAGAAATCGGGGATGAAGTTTGCAGAGTATTTGGAGCAAATTTGAGATAATCATTTTTTATTTATTGTTCCTTTTTTCTGAGATACCTTTTTAAGTAGTCAAACAGAATTGCATCATAATTTAGATGTTTGTCAATTAGATCACAAACAGGATGCAAAAATGTTTGCACCATGACAATTCTCTATTCATACAGCTTGTCATTGACAAAATCTCACACTATGCTCAAGATTATTTGATGATTAGAAGTAGTCCATATCTAATAATCATGAGTGATGTTGGTTCATCTCTTTTCTTAGAATATTTTGATATTGCTTCTGACATTGATTATTCTCTCACCAAACAGAATCTACAAACTAAATAAAAAAGAGTTACAGGATGATGAAAGCTTTACAAACCAAGTAACATTTACAGAAAATTCTGGGAGAACAAGTAAGCTAAAAAACTCAGCAAGATCTTTGATATATCAGCACCCATGTAAAACTGTTCCAATTTAGTTATGTTTCTGAATAATAACATACTCAAGAAATTTTGCAGAATTTGAACTGTTGGATGCTAACAATAAACCTTTGAGGCCAAAACTCTGGTTACTGTCCTAGGGGTGATTGAAGTAAGATTAAGCAATCCCTGTTCTCATATATTCCCCAAATATATATTTGTCAAGTATTTCTCCACTCTTTTACTTTTCTTCAGAATTTTCTATTGTTAAAGCACACATATGGCTATATAGTTTTGTGTAAATAAAAACAAATACCTTCTGCCTTACTTTATGAACTTAAGAATTCTCACATTTATTATTATGAAATTTTAAACTATGTCCTGAAGCCATAGTAATAAATAAGATATGTTCAAACAATTTAAACTTGTGTATTGCCATTTAAATTCACTAAGAAGGTTTAATTTTTTATAGCCAGTTAATATTTTATTATTTATAATTTTTTCAAAATACTTCTGGAATGATGATAATCATAAATTTTGTGCTCTAATTGTTACTTTGAATAGTTGAATAATTTAAATTATTTCCATGTTCAAACAAATTTAGCAGCACAGCAAACTATATTTCTTGGTTGTTATATTAAAAGAAATTTATATTTTATATCATTAATTCATCTTAATTAGTATGCAATTTCTTAGGCTTTATTAAGTAAAATAAAACTTTCTATATTACCTATTTAAAAATATTTTTATAGGTTAGAGTAAAAGGTTTCTTGATTTTATTTTTGTATTTCAAGCTTTTTATATCAATGTATGTTCTACTAATTTTGAAAGAAGAACAAAGCCCCCGTGAGTTATAATGTAGATGTTAATGACATTGTGAAAATGATGACAGATTGCTTTAATGGTGGAGATGCACTTAATTGGAGGAAGTCTAAAAAAAATGTGCTATTTCATATTACTTAAAAGAGTCAGTCAAGAGCCATCACCCACTTAACAATCATCTTAACCTGCATCATAAAACATATGTACTATTAAAACTGTTGGAAATTGCAAGAAGCATGTATTTATGCACTGTACATTCATCTCGACAACCCATTAAATAGTGTTTGTTAACCTTTAATTCAGATGTCTGCAATAAGATAATATAATGTAAAACACAAGTCAATAGAGGGTCGTAAAACTGTTTCTCTTACACTTTTTATTAGATTGCTATTTCATGATGAATTCAGTTACACCCTGAAGCAAATCTTGTATACAAGCATGGTATCAATATATTAAGATACAAATTGAACCTATTAAATATGTGAAAAATATTGGGTTTATTTCTAGTATGCTTGAAAATGTAGACATAGTTATTGGTAAATTTCATTGTATGCTGTTCAGCTTCATGGGCTTGTTCTTGCAATTCAAATGGGACCATTGATTGTACCCTGCAACTTACATTCCCTTTAAATTCAAAGTAGTATAGCCACCCACAAGGCTTTTAGTTTAGTTTTTACACTATCTCTTGCATTTTAAATGACACATATATAAAAATACACATATATTTTGCATAGATAAAAGGATTGGTTATTCTAAGGAAATGGGTATAGCATCGACAGTGTTTTAATTAGGTAATTTCATATGGCCACAATAGGCAGAGCTGAGCCAGTCTGAAACTAAAAGCTAGGAAATTTTTCCTGACTCTCACTTGATTACAGGGGCCCACGGGCTTGAGTCATCCTCCACTGCTTTCTCAGGCCATAAGCAGGAAGCTGGATGGGAGGTTTAACAGCCAGGACACAAACTGGCTGCTAAACATAAACATAAACATAAATAATATAAATATAAATATTAAAGAGGATACCTGTATCATAGATGGGGAACTAAGGTGAAATGCCACCATACCAACCCTGTGAGTGAACTTTAATTGAAGGAGTTATCCGTTTGATCAGCCAGAGAGGCCTTGCTTATTATGTGCTCAGTATTGATGGAAATTAGTTGCTCACAATCTGTGTGATGATCGACTTGTAAAGATAGCTGTGTTGCCTCTCCTCAGTGTAATGCGTGACATCAGTACTCAAACTCTGAACCCTCAGAAAACAAGAGTTCACCAGCTGTCTCTTAGACTGTTCTTTTCTCCTCTATTGCTGTGGGTTAATAAACACTCAAATAGTTGCAATATTTTGCAAGTAAGACAGAAACTAGATTTTGAAATATAACCTTCATATTAATTTTTCTACTTATAGAAAACTGCTTATCAGGTTTTCTTTGTACTGTTAGAATAGGTTTGACCTAGCTCCTAAACATGTATTAGTATGGGGGAGAAAATCTTGGGCATATTTTCTTGTAACTATTTTATCTTCAGTGCATGTGAGTACAGATCTGTGCTGAAAGAAACATACAAATGTGTAGGTATACATACACATGATAATATTCAGATATAAATGTGAAGGTCCTAAAGAACCAAATCTATTTGCATAAGTTCTCTGACATGACTAATATGTTCTTAGCTTAAAGGGAAGTAGATATGTAAGACTCAGTGATTCTATTTCTTTTCTTCTTTTGCCATTTTTAACCCATGATTCCTTAGCCTATCATTCTTCATAGTTGTGAGTCTGGTATATTTCTTCAAGGATGATAATAAATTTAAAATGCTACACATATGAAGGGACAAGTTTCAAATATGGGTCACTATGTTAATTCTCAAGCTCCCTTTTTCTTTCTAGAAGCTTCAACTTATTAATATGTAAATATTAAGTTTGATATCGTATTTTGAATCCAGAAATTTTAGGGATTGTCTCTGAAAGAAGTTATATGGTGTTAAAAATAGCTACTCAAGGATGAAGATTTGCACTTAAATTTATTATTAGTCTACATAAAGGTTTCTTATCACTTATAATTAGTTCTATAAGATTTTTTACATTATTCAGGTTGATAAACAGAATCATTTCTTCCTATTAAATTGCATGTTTCACAATACTTCATCTAGTAGGAGACTACTCAGGTCCTATGTTGTTAAGAACTACTCAATTTGGGCTGGTTGACTAACTGGCAAAAGTGAATAGTTTGTTAATGAGAGTTGATGTTTATTATTCCTTTTAAACAAATATTTTCCTGCCTCTATACTGCATTCTGATAACTCTATCTGATGCCTGAAAATTTGAGCAAGATGAATGACCTGCTTGCTCAAATGTTTTTCTTCCCAGTCCTCTTCTTCTCTGCTTCTCAAACTATTAAGAAATACTTCCTCCTGAGCCACTATGAAACTAGCATGTTGGAAGATTAGACAAAGATCAATTTTGAAAATTCATTTTCTTTTGCAGTATATCCACCACTAACTTAGAAGCTTAAAAACATATATTTATCATTTCACAATTGTAGTGAGTCAGGGGTTTCATGTGGCTGTAATTCCCTAATTACCGGGCTGGGCACCTCTATGGAGTGTTAGGTTTTGGACTTCTTAGAAGTGCTCGGCTCTTGGTGGTGGTATTGCTGAAGGTCCCCTTGTTCTGGCTGGTTGCACCCAAGGGCCATGTCCTGATCTCAGAGTTTATCACACACCACCCTGCTGTTTCCTCCTATGTGACCCTCTTATACACAGAGCTTTTTCTCTCCAACACAAGCAAGACAGTCTCTGATCTCAGGAAGAAAAAAAAAATATGTATCTCAAAGAGTTAAAAAAAAAGGGTCGGGGGAGGAGGGGTGCTCAGAGTGATAGCCTAGTAGCTGAAGTCCTCGCCTCGCATGTGCTTAGATTCCACGTGAACACTGGTTCTAATCTCGGCAGTCCCGCTTCCCATCCAGCTCCCTGCTGTGGCCTGGGAAGGTGATTGAGGATGGTCCAACACCTTGGGTCCTTTCATCAGTGTGGGAGATCCAGAAGAGGCTCTGGGCTCCGGGCTTCAGATTGGCTCAGCATAAGCCATTGTGACTGCTTGTAGAGTGAATCAGCAGAAGGGAGATCTTCCTCTCTCTCCTCATCTGTATATCTGACTTTCCAATAAAAATAAAATCAATCTTTTTTTTTAAAAAGGTGAAAAAAAAAAGGAAAGAGAGAAAGGGAAGAAGTAAGGAAGAAGGGATGGAAGAAAGGATGAGAGATTGGGATCGTTCGCAGCTTCTCTGCTTGCTGTATCTTCTTCCGAGCATAGCCGGGCCTAAGCGCACCCAACCATGTGTAAGGGACTAGCAGTTGGCATCGATCTTGGCACCACCTTGGAATGGGTGTATTCCAGCACAGCAAATTGGAGATCATCGCCAATGATCAGGGCAACCGAACCACCCTGAGCTATGTCACCTCTACTGGCACTGAACAACGCATCCGTGTTGTTGCAAAGAACCAAACTGTGATGAACCCTCACCAACACAGTTTTTGATGCCAAACGACTGATTGGACAGATTCGATGATGCTGTTGTCCAGTCTGACATGAAGCACTGATGCTTCATGGTGGTGAATGATGCTCGCAGGCCCAAGGTGCAGGTAGAATAGGGGGAGACAAAGAGCTTCTACCCAAAGATGTGTCCTCCATGGTTCTGATCAAAATGAAGGAGATGGCAGAAGCCTACCCTGGCAAGACTGTTACCAACGCTGTGATCACAGTGCCCACCTACTTCAACGACTCTCACCATCAGGCCACCAAAGATGCTGGAACCATTGCTGGTCTCAATGTTCTTTGGACCACCAATGAGCCAACTGCTGCTGCTATTGCTTATGGCCTGGACAAGAAGGTTGGGGCTAAAAGAGATGTGCTGATTTTTGACCTGGGAGGTGACACTTTCGATGTGTCTATCCTCACAGTTGAAAATGGAAACTTTGAGGTCAAGTCCACAGCTAGAGACACCCATTTAGGTGGAGAAGACTTTGACAACCACATGGTCAGCCATTTCATCGCAGAGTTCAAGCGCAAGCATAAGAAGGACATCAGTGAGAACAAGAGAGCTGTCAGGCTCCTGTGCACTGCTTGTGAGCGGCTAAGTGCACCCTCTCTTCCAGCATCCAGACGAGCATTGAGATAGATCATTTGTATGAAGGAATTGACTTCTGCACCTCCATTATCCAGGCTTGGTTTGAAGAGTTGACCTTTTCCGTGGCACCCTGGACCCTGTCGAGGAGGCTGTTTTGGATGCCAAGTTAAACCGTCGCAGATCTATGACGTTGTCCTGGTGGGTGGTTCCACCAGAATTCCCAAGATCCAGAAGCTGCTTCAGGACTCTTCAATGGGAAAGAGCTGAATAAGAGCATTGATCCTGATGAGGCTGTAGCTTTTGGTGCAGCTGTGCAGGCCATCCTATCTGGGGACAGGTCTGAGAACATTCAGGATCTGTTGCTGTTGGATGACACTCCTCTCTCCCTTGACATTGAGACTGCTGGTGGAGTCCTGACCGTGCTCATCAAGCGCAACACCAGAATTCCCACCAAGCAGATGCTGACCTTCACCACCTACTCGGACAACCAGCCTGGTGTGCTCATTCAGATTTATGAAGGTGAGCCTGCTATGACCAAGGATAATAATCTACTTGGTAAGTTTGAACTTACAACCATACCACCTATACACCATGGCATTCCCCCAATTGAAGCCATCTTTGATATTGATGCCAACAGCATCCTTAACATCACTGCTGTGGAAAAAAGCACTGGGAAAGAGAACAAGATCACCATCACTAATGACAAGGGCCGTTTGAGCAAGGAAGATATTGAGCAGATGGTCCAGGAAGCTGAAAAGTGCAAAGCTGAAGATTAGAAGCAGAGAGAAGCAGAGAGACAAGGTGTGTTGCAAGAATTCACTGGAGTATTACACATTCAACATGAAAGCAACTGTTGAAGGTGAAAAACTTCAGGACAGGATCAATGGTGAGGACAAACATAAGATTCTTGACAAGTACAATGAGATCTTCAATCGGCTAGATAAGAACCGGATTGCAGAAAAGGAGGAATTTGAACTTTAGCAGAAGGAGCTAGAGAAAGTCTATACCAGAGTGCAGGGGGCATGCCAGGAGGGATGCCTGGGGGCTTCCCTGACAGAGGAGCTCCTCCTTCCCAGGTGCTTCCACAGGGCCCACCATTGAGGAGGTGGATTAAGCCAACCTTGGTGTAGATGCAGCATTGTTTCACACAATAAAAGATGGAAGAACCCAAATTTGTAGCAAATTCTAGCAGTTTTAAAGTTTGGCTGCTACAGTAAATTACTGGGAATTCTGCATACTTGAATATGGAACATGTGCAAAGGGAAAGGAAGTAACATTGCACTTTATATGCATACGCTGTATCTAAGTGGAAAATGCAATGTCAAATAAAACTATTTAAAATTGGAAAAAAGAGAGAGAATGAGAGAAGAGGGACAACGCAAGGAAATATCACTTATTTAGAATTATATTTCTAAATTATTTTGGAGGAGAATCAAGATATCTGAAAAGGGTAAGGACACATTTGAACAGACAGAGAAACATTAGCCAGGGTGAAACAGAGAGGGCACATTCCAGGAAATAGGAAAGGACAGACTGACAACAGAAGGGCACCTGGAGACTCACAAACACAGGAAAGCAGTGGAGACAATGAGAGACAATGGTGTGGTATCGCAGTGATGCAGATACCCTAGAAGCAGTTAGCATGTGGCAATCTGAACTCCTCTGTCAGCCGTAACTACACCAGCAGCCAGGTGGGAAGTGGAGTAAACCAGGAGCTCGGGAGGTAAAACCAGACAAAGAAGTGCTCATCCTGCTGGTTTGCTTGATTTGATTAGGAGCAGAGACAGAGCAACAGATCCAAAAATGTGGTGCAGGAACAGGGTACATTTCACAGTCCAGATCCCCCACTAAAGCCGATTTGGGCACCATTTTGTGTTGGAAGCAAAGGCTATGGGAGAGACTGTGCATGCACAACGTTGGAGTCAACTCATTTCCAGGCTTAGTACATTGCAGTGGCATGGCATCGTACAGATTCTATCCAAAATAGGTCTGGGTAACCATCAGACCTAATGGCCAGCAGATCCAGAACTCCACCAGTGGCACATCAGGCACTGTTTTTTACAAAATGCAAAGGCATTCAGGCTGCAGGGACAACAGTGAGGTGCACATGTGCTGAGCTGGGGGTGAACTCATGGAGCTCAGTGCATTACACTGGACCCATATCAAAAATAATTCTGGCTTTGGCAGCTTACAACTCAAAATAGGTCTGTGTGGCCCTCAGATTTAATGGTCGGCAGGTTCTGTGAAGATCAACACCACCAACAACCTAGCTTTTTGGGACACCTAGTGTCTCTAATCCTGAGAACAGCATGAACTGAAAGTGGGAGAAAGGTTGTACAGACAATGGTGCAGCCTCAGAACAGAATCACAGGAGGTGGAGACTGGTGAGCCAGGAGCTGGGGCTATGGAGACCATGGTGAAAGACTGACAAGAACCCAGATCAGAAACTCTCTGGAAGGAGTGGCACAAGTGACTGCAAACAAAGAACTGACACCAATCGCAACAAGTAAAAATTGAATTGTAGATCTGTGGGTGATACAGTTTAAAAACCTGCCCTAAGAAGAATCTGCTAACCAGAAGCACAGTTATCAAAAACAAAAGAAGAAACAGAGGCACAATGAATATTACTAAAGACTCCCCTGCAAAGGAGCAAAAGCCTTTGTCAACCTCAGAGTTAACTGAAGAATACACCGAGAAAATGGGGGATACAGAATTCAGAATACTCATTATAAAGCTTCTTACCAACAGTGAGAAGACACGCAGGATTTCAAGGATTAAGGAGTATGTCACAAAGGAAATAATAACACTGAAACAAAATCAAGCTGAATCACTGAAAATGAAGGATGCAATAGAACAAATTAAAGTTTGAGTGGAAAGTCTCAATAATAGAATGAAAGAGGCAGAAGGAAAAAAATCTCAAAATTTGAAGATATTTATTGTCACAATGGTGAAAAAAAAATCGAAAAACTGTAAGTAGAGCTGGGTCAAACTAGAAAAAGTATTCAAGAATTAAGGGACACTATTAAAGGCTAAATATAAGAGTTATTTGAGTTCCAGGAGGTGCATAGAGAGAAGCCGGGTTTAAAGACGAATCTAATGAAATAATAAAGGAAAACATCCCTAATCTAGAAAAAGAATTGGGAAACAACATCCAGGAGGAGCACAGAGCTCCCAATAGGGTTGAACAAAAGTGATCTTCACCATGATATACAATCAGGCTTTCTTCAATCGACCATAAGGAAAATATCCTTAAATGCTCATGAGAAAAAAAAAATCAATTGACATGTAGAGGAACGACAATTCACAACTGACCTCTCAGAGGAAACTCTACAGGTCAGAAGAGAATAGGGTGACACATTCCAGATTGTAAGAGCAAAAAACTGTTTGCCCAGAGTAACATACCCAGCAAAGCTTTCCTTTGTCTTTGAAAATGAAATAAAATTCTTGCACAGTAAAGTTAAAAGAATATGCCTCCTCCAAACCTGCCCTACAAATGTTATTTAAAGATGTTCTTTTGAAAGAGAAAAGGAATACAACCCACCAAAACCAGAGGCAAATATTAAGATCATTCCAGTAAAATAACATCAGAAGACTAAGTCAATGAACAACTCATTGCTAAAATGACAGGACCAAATTACAACCTATTCATATTAACCCTGAATGTAATTGGCTTAAACCCATCAATCAAATGTGATAGATTAGTAGACTAGATTAAGCAAAAACACAGTTCATCTGCTTGTTGCCTATAGGAGGCACATCTCAGCAACAAAGATTATCGAAACTGTATCTCATGGATTTTGACATTTTTGTTTTCATTTCCTCAAAATAGTTTTTTTTGCATTAAATTATTTAATGACAGATCATACAGTAGCATCATTTTCTTCAAGAAGGTTCTTGATTTTCTTTTCATTTCTTCAGTGTTACATTAGTCACTCAGTAGCATGTTATTTAACTTCATGATATTGTAAATTTCTGTCTTTTTTCCTGTTGTTGATTTTGTTTTGTGGCTTTTCATTTAAGGGGATATAAGTAACTGTGTAATGGAGACTATCATATCCAGATGTTAGGATACAATGCAGCAAGTATCTCTACTTCCAGATCAAAGATGGACTCCCAATGAAACTGTTTACTATATCTTGACAATAGGATGCTGGACTCTGCCATTGTCCATGCCTGCAATGATGGACATATGACTATTTATGAAGAACTATAGTCTTGTAATTGTATAGGGGAATTCAGTGTGGGAGAGAGGATCTGGGGAGGAGGTAAGGGAAATTCCAGAGCCTATGGAACTTAAAATGATGATAGTAATAATAATACATGTATTATTTATTATAGTTTAAGATGATTTTTATCCATTGCCCCATGTGAACAAAATAAGCTCTAAATAGTTCTAGAATATTCCCTGGAGTCAGTTACTTTGCTAATGCGCAGGGAAATTGGAAGATGTATTCTTTCTGAAGAAAGCTAGGTTTACTGGGACATATGAGTTACAGTACCATCCCCATCATTTTTTCCTCTGTCTAACACTAATCTTATGAAAAGTACACTTAGGTTTCCTAGACTTTAATCACTGTAGAGGAAATGATCTCCTAGTAAAAATCATTACACTTAAAGATTAGCTCTTACAGATTTTAATGTCACATTTGCTAAGAATTATTGTTGAATAGTTCCCATGTAATATCAAATGGAGTATTCATGGGCAACACATCTGTGGGTGCCATCCTAAGCCAGTTTGCCAGTTTGCCAGAAAGCCCACAAGACTTTGGCCAGCTGTTCCTTAGTTGCAATGATGAGCCAGAGTTAAGTATCCTGAGATTTTTTTAAAAATGTATTTATTTTTGTTGGATAGCCAGATATACAGAGAGGAGGAGAGACAGAGAAGTAGATCTTCTATCTGATGATTCACTCCCCAAGTAGTTGGCAATGGCTGGAGCCGAGCCGATCTGGTTCAATGCTAGGAGCTTCTTTGGGTCTCCCATATGTGTGCAGGGTCCCAAGGCTTTGGGCCCTCCTTGGCTGCTTTCCCATGCCACAAGCATGGAGCTGGGCAGTCGGAATATAAACCAGCACCCATATGGGATCCAGGTGTATGCAAAGTGAGGATTTTAGCAACGAGGCTACTACTCTGGGCCCTATTCTGAGATTTTCAACAAATGAGTTTGAAGGGCTGGGGATTTATAAACAAATGTCAAAAAGATCGATTTACAAATTTGTGAAGCATTGAACTTACCTGTCAAATACAAGTGAAGGTTTCAGCAGATTGTTTAAATCTTTCCTGAAGTATCTCTTCCCTAAGTCATCTATTTCCCTCCATTAAGAGTTATTGTTTAAAAATGAGTATGCCACAGAGCCTCTAAAAAAGTATGTAAGACATAACTGCATAAGACAGATATGTAGTAATTTGCTTAAAATGATAATTTATCAAGGCTTGGTCTGATATGACCTCGTAGAACATGTGATTCATTATGTATAGCTGATGGTGCTTAGGTGTATCTGTGTTCTATAAAGAAAAGCTGCAATTGGCATGTATAATCAGTCCATGAAAATCCAGATGCTGTTAAGATTGTTAAATTACAGATCAATAGATACAGCACTCTATTGACAACACTTAATAGCAATCTCATTGGTAGGAATAACAACTGATTTTTGGAAGAATATATTTTTAGTGTCATTGTGACCTTTAAAGATGACATCACTATTTAGGGAACCTCATGGTGTGATGTGGAGAATTATGTCAGGCACAAGCTAAACAACCTTCATGCTTGCCTCCTCACTTTTTCCTTATAAGCACAAGTAAACGATAATATTTTCCTCATGTTACCAAGCATGAACTTTTTTTTTTCACAAATCTAGAGGCTTCTGCATGACAAAAGTAACAGATTGTTAGTCTTGTACTTCAAAGACTTAGGCAAAGGCTGGTACATTTTAGATATTCAGTAAATACTGTGAAGGACAGAGAGAGAGAGAGAGAGAGAGAGAGAGAGAGAGAGAGAGAGAGGGACTTTCATTGACTGGCTCACTCCCCAAATGGCCACAAAGGTTGGGAGTGGGCTGGGTCAAAGCCAGGATCCAGGAGCCTCTTTCTAGTCCCCCATGTATATGTAGAGGCCC